AACCCAAAGATTTTATGATTCTGTGATTCCACCCACCCCCTTCTTCCCAGGCTCAACTTCACTCCCTCATTCTCAACTCCTCTTCCCCCACCCCAAGCAGGACAAAAGGGACAAGGAATGGGAGACTGTGGTCAGCCTGTACGAGTTTCTTTCTCATAGTCCTTCCTCCTCACATTTCTCCCCGTGCTCCAGCGTGGGTCATTCTCCACAGACTGCAGTCCTTCAAGAACTACTCCAGCAGTGGGTCATCCCCACTGAAGGGCTGTGATCCTTCAGGATAAACCTGCTCCTGCATTGGCTCCTCTCCATGGGCCACAGTTCCTGGCAGTAGAGCCTACTCCCCCATGGGCTGCAGTTTCCTTCAGGGAATATCCACCTCCCCTCCAGAGGCTGCAGGGAAACACCTGTTCCACTGTGGTCTCTCCCATGGGCTACAAGGAATATATGTTCCAATGCCTGAAGCACCTCCTTCCCCTCATTTTTCTCCAACTTTGGTGTTCACAGGATTGTTTCTCACATTTCCCTCCCCACCCCCTTCCCACACTAACACTGTCGTGCAATGTTTTGCCTTTTCTTATATATGTTTCCATCAACTGGTGAGCTCAACTGTGTCCTGCAGTAGGGCCACTGAGGAGCCAGCTGGACCAGGCTGGGTCCGGTATGGGGCAGCCACCAGCCTTTCCTCATGGATACCACCCTCTTATGTTGAAAAACTCCTGTGTTGAACAGTCAGAGGTAGTCTAGAGGCACTGTGGAATTTTATGACTTAAAAAAAAAAAAATCAAGCTGAATTAAGCAAGTATCTTTAACCATTAGGCTACAAAAATACACTATTTGTACAGTACAAAAAAAAATTTAAAAATTATTAAATTAGGTCTGCACAGTGAGCTTTACATTGGATCAAAGACAAAATCATAAATGAAGTAATTCCTAAATAGAGTAATTTCATGATATACATACTTCCTGCTCGCCTTCATTTTCTTCATCATCATCATCTTCATCATCACTATCAATTACAATGACGTCGTCTCTCTTAGACTGACCATCCTGAGATGAAGAAGTATTTTGCTGTTCTGACTGAAGAGGTCCAAGATCTATTGGGATGGACTGAGAAGTTTCTTCACTATCCTCCATGGGAGTGTATTCCCCCTGTGTAACACCCTGTAAAAGATAAAGGTAAATTAGCAGAGGAAACAGAATTAAATATGGCGTATACAATTTTAAAATGTTCATCAGGAAAGTGTCCATTGTATTTCTAAGAGCTCCTACCTCTCAACCTCAATCAAACGGAGGCCTGTTCTACCAACAAATCTGATTGGGATAGGGGCCATCACTAGGGATACTGTATTCGTCAGGACTCCCAATTTTAGGAAAGCAAACTTCCAGCTCTTCAGGTAGTTAGTCAATAGGACCCCCTGGGAAACTGCCCTCAGGACAAAGGAGCAGAACAGAGCTGGCAGATCTTTAAGGATGCTTTCCATAGAGCACAAGAGCTCTCGATCCTCAGGTTTAAGTAACTGGGTAAGGAAGGCAAGAGGCCAGCATGGCTGAGTCAAGACCTTGCTGGTCAAACTAAAGGGCAAGAAGGAAATGCACAGGCAGTGGACGCAGGGACAGGGATCCTGGGACAAGTACAGGGACGCTGCCCAGTTTTGTAGCGATGGGGTCAGGAAGGCCAAGGTGCAGCTGGAGATGAATTTGGCAAGGCATGCAAAGAATAAGGGCTTCTACAAGTATGTCAGCCAGAAAAGGAAGGTCAAAGAAAATGTATCCCCCCGATAAGCAAGACTGGCAAACTGGTAATAACGGATAAGGAGAAGGCTGAGGTTACTCCATGATTTCCTTGCCTCAGTCTTCACTGGCAGCGTCTCTTCCCACACCTCTCAAGGGGATGCAAGACGGGGACTGGAGGAGCAAAGTCACTCCCACTGTAAGAGAAGATCAGGTTCGAGACCACCTGAGGAACCTGAACATGCACAAGTCTACGGGACCTGATGAGATGCACTCCAGAGCCCTGAGCGGGGGCCAATGTAGTTGCCAAGCCACTTGCCATCATATTTGAGAAGTCCTGGCAGACAGGTGAAGTCTCTGAAGACTGGAAAAAGGGAAACATTGCACCCATTTTTAAAAAGGGTGGCAAGGAGGACCATGGGAACTACCGAGCTATCAGCCTCACCTCTGTGCCTGGGAAGATCATTAGACTAGATTTAGACTAGATCTAAGGAAGAAATTCTTCACAATGAGGTTGTGAAACCCTAGCCCAGATTGCCCAGAGAGGTGGTCGATGCCCCATCCCTAAAAACATCCAGGGTCAGGTTGAACAGGGGCTCGGAGCAACCTGCTCTAGTTGAAGATGTCCCTGCTCACTGCAAGGGGGGTTGGACTAGGTGACCTTGAAAGGTCCTTTCCAACCCAAACTATTCTATCATTCATGTATGATTTATTTGAATGAATATCCATGAAAATCTGCTGCCTGAATGTTTAGCCACCAACTTCTGATAACCAAGGAGCTATCACCAACACCTACACAATAAGCAAATACAGACATGGAGCACTGTTGACAGCTGAGGTGGCAGCACTCTGCCCTTACTTCGCATCCAGCCAGAACAACTGCCTGGTTACTTGGAGAGGCACTCTCTGAGATGCTTACAAGAGAAACACTAGTTATCGCTGTTTCTTAATAACTAACAGGAGAGGAGAAGAGAGAATGCTACAGTTGATTGGTGACAATCAACTATAGATGACTAAAAGTCTCCCCAGGATCAAGGAACAAACATCGTTCTTCTAAGCACGAACTCTGAGCTGCTGCTTTAGAGTTCGTTTGGTCTGGAGAACAGTAACACAATTCACATGACAGCCAGACACCGAGCTAGCAAATAGTTCTCCTTCCATTCAGCACCTATGTATATTCAAAACATTTGAACCAAATCTGACAAGTATGACTGAAAGTGTTCAGAAAAAAAATGCATGAAGGAGAGTCCCCCACAACCTCTTTTAAAATAAATAAATAAACAAATATTTGGGACTCTACCGCATACATTTTGTAGCATTCGAGACTTTTGGTTTAGGTATCATAAGTAGGTTCTCTTATTTTCTGAACATGTCACTTCAATGTTGCAAACAGTTGTCTAGCACCAGAATTCAAATAATCACACTGACTACTAGAACTGTTAATTAAAGAACATTTAAAGTTACCTGTGGAATAGAAAGCACACAACTGGGACTTAATGGAGACATAAATGTTTATCATACCTTTTGAACATGTGAATGTTATGAGGGAAAAAATGACTGACTAGAGACTCAGTACCCACCAATGCTTAAAGAAAACACGAGGTTTTGCCATGTTAGAGAATTACCATAACTTCTACTTGTTTCTGAAGTAGGAGGAGATTAAATTAATGGTTTTCACTTATAGTTGGCTTTCCCAAAACAGCTACAATGGGCATTTTACAGACCTAAAACACAACAAACTTTTTTTTCCTTTGTTTATCACATCATGACCCATCTAACACTAAGCTTGCTCAAGGATTTGTCAAATCTTTCTGTAAAAGAAAAGCCAGAAAGCAAAGAGAAGTACTCCAAAGGAGTAAGCAAAGAACTCAAACTCCAGTTCAAGACTGACTCATTTAACCTCGACATCTCAGTTTCACTATATAAAACCAGGGTTAAGGATACTAGGATTTCTAAAACACCACATTGAATTACAATGCAAAACTGCAAAGATTCATTAACATTCTGAATGTTACTTCTACAGGTATGTGTAGAGTGCAATAAAAATTGAGTATCTATCCTTGAACATTGCAAGTCTAAACATGCAGGATCTGATTTAAGATTTCACTTTTAAAAATACTGAGAGCTGGGGGGAACATAGCTATTTCTGCTGGAATGAAAATTTTTGCTTTTCAAATATGCTTACTTCTCCAATTGAGTCTTGTGAGTCTTGATTGTATGTTTGAGCTTCTACCTCACCATCTGTGCTCTCTTCTGCTGTCACTTCCTCCTGAAAGAATATACATTTTTCTCATTTAAAACACAACATCAAAGTTTGGTTCTTTAACATGGTTGAGGGTTTTTTTTTTTACTTAAAAAAAAAAAAAAAAATTATCTTTTCCCAGAAAGATCATGGGCAACTTTTTGTTCCCCTTTTACTATTATTTCTTAGCTTGGCTTTTATCTAGCACCCCACTTCTCTGCCCTGGAGAAATAAAATTTCCCCATTCCAGTCCAGTGGACCTCAGTGTCTCTAAATCTTTTCAGGACCAAAAAAAGAACCCTCAAGGTTTCCCATTCCGTCTCAATCCTCTCAGCTAATTAAGTGATAACGTTCTTAAACAATCTGGCCCTTTTCTGTTATGCAACATCCCTCTCATACAGAGTTAATAAAATGTCTTTGACTTCCTTCACATTATTCATGAGTTGCCTCCTGTGAGGTTGTCTCAAGTTCACTCCTTTATTTGCAAGACATCCCAGTTCCCTCACACCAACATTTCACATGCATCTGCTGTAAGCTTTTCCATAGAACTCATCTTTGCTTCTCTGGTACCTCAAGTATACTGTATTTTATTCCAGAATAACTGTAGATAATGACCTTCCAGGCGACATTGAAAAATGTTTTAACTTCTTCCTCCTCGATGCCAGGATATGGTGCTTGCTCTCCCATCCTACAGTTCACTAAGATTTGCATTACTCATTGCAACTGGTATAACCTCTGCCTTTTATGATACCCCAACATAATTGCTTCCTCCCTGATAGATTAAAAAGTCACGTTAAGAATTAACTGACTTGTTCTGACGTAATATACTTGCTCTTCCCATTAAAATCTTCCAAAGGGACAGAATAAGTAGTAGCATTTTATGTTCTTCCAAACCTCAGGTCCAACTCTCTGTATGCTTCTCAGTTTCTTTGGAAGAGGTACATCCACCGTTTCCTCTGAAATTTGGTCTGAGTTTTCCACAGTGTTATCCTCCTCTTCCTCTCGTGGACGTTTAGACAGTGAAGAACTTGGGGTAGCTGAAACTTAAAACAGCCTCTCAGTTAGTTTCAGAACAACAAATGTACAAAACAAAATCAAAACGTTTGGTATTTTACTCTGGAAGATTGCCTCTTTTTCTGCATTCAATAATAACAAACAGAATCAGATAGAATCACCTTGTGTTGTTTCCTATGACATGAAAACACCAGCCCCTTTTGTTATGCTCCTGGACTATATTCACAACCTCGTTCACCCCAAATGTAAGCTTCAGGGTACAACTAAAGTATTTTTTCCCAACATCTTTGCTTCCGACAAGTACACCTGAAAGTTTAACAGAGAATCAGCTGGGAAACAAAAAAAGCAGTTTACAAAAGCATATTTTGGGGAATAGATGTTCTACACCAAAATCTACACTATGTAAGGGCAAACAGATGTGCAACAGTGTACCAAACTGCGTAGCATTAAGAGTTGTCCATATTTTATATTCCAGTTTAAGCAGCTTACTCGCAACTCCTAAAATAAACCTTGCTCCAACAGTACCATGGAAACAGAGGAAGCAAGGTTTAACGTCTTAAAACCCCAGTGCTGCTCTGAATAGATAAACAAACATGTGAGTGTTTATTTTCTACTTTAAGGAATACAGCAACAACAGCATTTCAGAAGTACCATTTCTGAAGGTTCAAGAAAGGAGCCTAGCCTCATAAGTTTGTAAAACGTGCAGTAAACTAAGGGGCGGGGGAAACAGCAAATTCTGTTGCTGAAGTTAGGCCTGGTTTGACAAGGGTCCAAATAGAGCTATGTAAAAGGAACAATTCAAAAAGGTAGGCCTATAAAATAAAACCAACCTGTGCCAAACACTGCTGTAGAAGTGGAGGGCCTCTCTATTTGAGAGCTCTGTACAACTTCTACAATGGTAGGGGATGGCTCCTGATTAGCAGGCTCAATCTGAGGATGACTTTGCTGAGTGGGCTGCACAAAAGCAGTCGCTTGTGTCTGCTGCTGAACAGTCAAGATGGGCTGAGAGAGAGATGTCTGAACATTAGGACTGGTGGAACGCACAGACCCACTAGTGCTTCCAAAGACTGGAACATGCTCCACAGGTCCTTCTGATTGCATCGCTGAAAGACAAACAGTAGCATGTTCAACTGTCTTCATATTATCTTGTACAGTTCACATTCTCCATTTCAGAATGCCCTGAATAAGCAGATTCAATGTTTTGCAGATTGAATTAACATTGCTTATACCCACCTTCAGTTGAGTTCATCTTCGTGAACTTTGTTGCAACAGAAGTGGTCATAAAAGTACAATATCGAAGAGATGCAGGCACAAAACAACTATCTGAGGTACTTTCAAACTCATAATTACAGAGATTTCAAGGCAAAGATATCATTTATAATTACTGTAGATCCTTATACTATACTAAAATGCTCACCTTCCTGAGTCTCCACCTGTGTTGTAGGCATAACTGTGGCTGTTGGAGTAGTGGTAGGATTAGTGACTGTAGCAGGAGTAACCATTGGACGGATACTGGCTCTTGGAGTAGACTTATTTCCAGCTATTGCAGCAGCAGTCACTTTACTTGGAGTTGACACAACAGGAGTTGGTTTAATATTTGCTGTTGGTGGATCTGAAGTGCTAGCACTGAAAAACAGGATATTGGTTTCATCATGGTAATGCAGAAAGCAGATTTTAAAAATACCAAATGTAAATATACTACCATAGCCAGAAATACTAAATTTTAAAGATTTAAAAGCCTGACAAGGGCATAATGAAGTGTCTTCCAAAATTTGTTTATAGTTAAAAAAGAAAAAAAAGACAGACCCACTATGCCATCAGTAGCATTTTGTCCAGCTTAGAAGTTTGACAGATTTCTTCAAAGGTAATCAACTAAAAATCTGTAAGCAGATCAAAAGGAGCAGTGCGTCGCTCATACTATTAGCTGTGCTGTATCTTTGTTACAGTGAGTAATACAGCTTACATTAAAACCAGCTGATTCAGTCAATACAGAGCAACATCATCTCTTGGTTGAGACTGATCAGCCAAATTTTAAGAGGCATTTTTGAAAGCCTTGCTTTCAAAAGGATGCTGTCATAAAATCTGAAAGGGAGTTTGTTACCTAAACTTAGTAATACAGTAGTATCTCCCATTTTAGAGCTCAGTCATTTGACTTATTTTATCTTTTACTAGAGTTGTCACCTATTTAGTCCATTTCTCATGTTTGAGATTCTTGCACATGGAAGATCCCGCTAGAAACAAAAAGGTTAAAAGGTAACAATCAAAACCACACAACTTCAACAACCTTGAAGTCTGAAAACATTTTAAAAATCTTTTCCGTTTGCCAGACACCACGTTCCTTGTGGCTAATATGACAATTTAATGGCTTAAAAGCTTTATTGATAAAATGTAGCTAAGAAAACAGGAGGAACATATTACATCATGCAGTACCCTGAAAGTTCCTTAAGAAAAATTGTGAAAAGCCAGTAGTTTACTAAACAGAAGAGCAACTAGATGAAGACAAAACCAAAAAACACCAACCACAGAAAATCTGCAAGAAACCCAAACCCTTCAACTCACATTCCTCTTTCACCTGAAGCTGGAGTAGACTTGAGTGAGATTTGCCTCTGCTGTTCTGGGACCTATTAAGTAAGAAACAGAAGTATTGTGCCATGTAAATACAAAACAGAGCAAGTGATTTGGTGAAATACTTCAGCAGACAGATCCCTCTACTAACAATCATTTCGCTAACACATTTGCTAGCATACCTAGTCAGACTCCATGATTATTGCAAATTCTCCAAAACAAATCATACCAAGTATGTATATATATACAATGTATGTATATATACACAATATATACAGGTACTAAGTAGGTAAACCAGTTCAGTAATTTCTTGAGTATTTTCTGAAGCTACTGAGACAATAGCAGCTAGAACCCGTTATACTGAATGCATGGAAATAAACACAAAAATAGAGAGCAGAGCACAAATGGCTCATTGGCTGATTCACAGTGAATGACATAACTGGATCCTTGTTAGCACTGGGAATTCTGACTATGACAGGAAATAAGTTTTAAATTATGTTATGAATCCTTACTGAAGCCAACTTGTACATTTTCAAAACCAGGGGACAGAGGAACTTGAATAGCACACACTTTGTTGGGCTCAATGATGTTTTTTCTTTTTTTTTTTTTTTTTTTTTTAAATGCATGGGTCCTATGACAAGAATTTCCATCTGCTATTTAGGATGTTTAGAGGAAACATCTTCATATAAAGCAGTCCTGAGTAGTAACTACAATATACACAAAAACAAACCAAGTTGGACATTGGTGCTGGTGCTGACAGCTGTTGTTCTCGTTCAGTCATGAGATATGCAAGCTGTTTGCCTCCTCTCACACAGCTAGCTAAAAGGATTTTGTACCTTGTTTGTAGACTCTGGCGGCTCATCTCGCTGTTCGTGGTGTCGCTCTTGCTGCTCTCTAAGCTCTCTTTCCAGACGGCAGATTCGACCTTCATACTGTGATTTGAGTGCACTCATCCGCACCTCCAATTCAGTCTTCTGCTCTTCTAATGAGCTGCTCTTTTGCTTCCACTCCTCATTTTCTTTTGTTAGCTGTTCTTTCGTACCTAATTGAACAGGAAAGAATTCAGTCTTGCCACTGTAAAGCTGTGTACTAAGTCTCCTCATGCTGGATACCTGGCTGTTTTAATAGGTTACTGAAGTATTTTGAAATCTCAAAAGCATTAAGCTATCAGAGGAGCTCTTAGAGGTAATTTTAACTTTCATGTGCCATTTTTCTATTTAATTACAATAAAAATAAATTAAAATGATAAAAA